CGTTCAGCTCGATCCACGGACGGGGATGCGTAATTTTTCGCGAAATTCCCGCAGTAGGTCGCAAATATCACGGGCTGTCTCGGGATTAGAAACGAAAAGAGAGAAACGAAAATGGCAGACCATTTGTCGCACTTATCGTTCGGACGATATCGCCAGCGCTCACCTGGCCGAGGGATGAAATAAACATACGGCGATATAACGGGTGTATGGCGCGCATGCCGTGAATATTATCGCGGAAAGAGATCGTCGTTGATACGCGGAAATGGGGCAGGCCATTTCCATGGAGGGCACAGGAAATAATTCGGGTAATTTCATCGGCATAAATTGGATTGGCCGATCAAGCGCGCCCGACGCGGAGGGGGCGACGGCCGTCTCCCGCGACTTGTCGGTCACATCGTTTCGATGGTAGCCGAGGGCTACCGAAGGGTGGCCTCACTCGGCCGGACCCTCCGCCGAGGCTATAATCCAATTCGAAAGCTGTCGGACAAGCCGTCGTGGAAATGCGAATCGCGAGTGACCGAATGTGTCCGGCCGTACGATTCCAGGACGAGCGGTGACGTGACCGCCGTCGCCGCTGCGTTTCAGTTATCTTTCTCATTTGCATTTTTATTGGTAGATTTAGCGTTTCGGGACCTTTGTCGCCAAGCCGGAATTGTTTTCCGCAGGAAAGCGCAGGAGAGCGCGAGCGCGACCGACTGAAAATGAAATTTTCTTCCCTCAATTTTTCATATCGGTAAAAAATATGTCTCCCGCCCGTCGTTGCCCCCCGTTGTCTGTATCGTATCGTTTGTGTTGTTTGACGCATCGTCGCGAGATATCGACAACCGAGTGCAATTAAGTATTTAAAATCCCCCTCCCCTCTTCTCCTCCTATTCACACACCGCTCCGGGAGTGTTTCCCGGCAATTAGGTAAAGTGAAACCGACATTTCCTATATCGCAAGCCAATATCCCCGAGGTCGTAACAAAGTGGCAAACGGAAGTAAAATCGCAGGGAAGCCTGTCGTCACGCGACGGTCGTATCTTGCCCGTCGACAAGATTATTTTCATATTTTCAGGAGACCCAATTTGCATACAGACTCACGGCATCAGCAGTAAAAGAACGGAGTATTCGCTTCTCTTTTTTTGCTCCTCTTTACCCCGATATGTCGTCGATTTATTGGCTCCAGTCGCGCGCGTTAATTGCACACCACGCCAAGTAGCTCTGATTTCGACAGAGAGCGCAATCGGAAGAAATGACGCAGCGAGCGCCTAAATAATGTTTAAGCACGAGACATGTCCCCCGAGCGACCTGTACTGACCGTTTCCAATTAAACGCGATGCGACGCTACACGGCCTCTGACCCTCCAAAACTTAGGCCATCAAAGGTCATTTATCTTCCCGGCGGGTAATATGATACATCGGAGAGACACACTGTTACCCAGAGGCGGCTTAAATTAAATTCCAAATTGGAAATTTATTAACGCGCGTTCTCATTCGCGAGACGATCAAGATAAATGAGATAATCGTGCACTTTGTACGTAGGTACGGCTGAATCGCGTGACTTTAACACCGCCACGGCGTGTTGTACTCACCCTCGACCCCCGACACTCACCCCCGTCGAAATTTTTCAGCCCCGAAAATTTCGCCGTCCCCGGGGAAACTTAACTCCTGCCGGGTTTTCGCGATCTCGGGCGCAAAAATGCGACGCGCACCGTAAATGCAAGCTGCACCCGTCGGCTGCAACGAGGCGGTTTTAGAGCCGTCGCGTAAATCACCACACCCTGTTATGATGTCACGTGATTTACCCTGACCCAGCCGAGCCCACAGAACCTGCGAATAGGTCTTCTGGGGGCGATAGTGAGCACGGCCAGTCACGAAAGCTCTCACCGCTTTCGTGCTTAATTAGCATACGAGCTAAGTCGATACAGAGGCACGATGACCTTCAAACTTTTCGGCCGGCCGTAAGAAGCATCTTCGGCCAATTCGCTCGTTTCGTGCGGTATGTCGCTGTGACGTCATCGGGTGGTGATCAATCGATCAATACGTGAAACCGACCGCGGCAAAATGTTGCGTTCTATTCGGAAAAAGGGAGCTTCTTCCCTTTTGCGAAAATCACGACTAGCGATTCTGTATCGCTTGATCTTCGCTGCATCACCCGGAGATGAACAAGCCTGATCCTCACGGTTGTTTATGGTTTCAATTAAGATTCCACGGATGGCGGTAAAAAGTTTCACGGTGCTTCTCGAACGTTATGACATATTTGCGGAACACGTCGGATGCGTGTACAAACATACGCATGCATACGCACACATACACACACACGCACACGGCATTACGAGAAACGACGAAATCTGTAGTTGAAATCTCGCTCGTAAAGCCGATTATCTGGCTACTTCGCGTTTCCTTTCGCGTGGAACGGCTCACGTCATGAGATTAAGCGAAAGGATATCAAGATAGAATCAAACTTGTATCGCGGCGCGCGGTCTAAGCCGTGAATTAGGATTTGCATACGAAACGCACGTGCTGCCCTTGCCGAGAGGCGGAGACGTTAACTTTTCAGGGATCGCACGAACATGAGATCAGTTAATACGTTAAGGAGTTTTCCGAGAGAGGAAGAGAGAGAGAGAGAGAGAGAGAGAGAGAGAGAGAGAGAGAAAAAGAGTATCCAGGCTGAGTCGAGCGTAAACGGCTATTCGACTCATCCTTTACTCGAGTAAATTTCGCTTATACTGCGAAAAAGTAACAGTAAGATCGACAAAATCGGCGGTCACCCGCTTTCAGAGAATATTGTATTTGTTGAACAAATTTAACGCGTTAGTGCAACAATGGATTGTGTTGATATAGTTACTGACTAAATCGCATTAATTAAATTGATACATATATATATATATATATATAATTCATCACAGCAACCATATAATTTGTTCAGTCGAATAAGTATTTGCTTGAACAAGTTTTGTTTGTTCGAGTAAAATCTCATTTCAAAGCAATCAGCTATTTTCTTCTCAGTTCTTTCCTCAATTTTGACTACCCGAAATGTCCGGCTCTTTCGGGTATTATCTGGCTACACGGATATTCCGGGTCTTTTGGATTTGAATGTCCAGGTATACGTGTCTTTCGAGTATTACTTGAATATATTAACTTGAAAGCTTCGGATCTACTCGGACTGAGAGAAGGCAGCTTTATCTTTCGTCTTTTGCACATGAACAACTTGCGCGGCTATAAAGTTAATTTAGTGAATACACAAGATAATTTCACATTTTCAGGTTATCGATTTATTAACAATAACAAATAACGAGCGAATACATGGCATACGCTCGTAATCAGTTATCTGGTTGTCCAGATAATACCCGTGGGTGTGAGGATCCGAGTTCAGAGTTACAAATAATTAATTACTTTTTTAATTAATTATCGTGTTTAATCGACGATTCATATGAGCCAATTCCATTAGGAACTGTTTAATTGGCAATTAATTTCAACAAACTCAATGGAAAACCCTTCAATGGACGATCAATTTCAACGAATTCAATTAAAGACCGTTCAACTGACGATTCATATAAGCGAAGGGAATTCTAGATCGTCTAATTAAAAATTGAACTTAGCAAATGTAATAAAAATTCACTTAATTTTGACGACTAAACTTAGCAAATTCAATTTAAGGTGATCTAGGTGACGATTAATATGAGCAAATTCAGTCAGTTCAATCCGAGATTGTTCGATGACGATTGATATGATCGTTGTCCCCTCTCTCTCTTAACACGGGTTCTATTTAACGTTTTTCAATCATTGGTATCTTTCACGATATACCACTATACATGCTTTGAGCATGAATATTATTTTTAAAATCAAATGTAACGTTGAGCAACAATTGGACGCTCTAATTAATTACATTTTTTAATTAATTATCGTGTTTAATTAACGATTCATATAAGCCAATTCCATCAAGAACCGTTTAATTGGCAATTAATTTCAACAAATTCAATGGGAAACCGTTCGATGGACAATTGATTTCAACGAATTCAATTAAAGACCGTTCAACTGACGATCCATATAAGCAAAGGGAATTCAAGATCGTCCAATTAAAAATTGAATTTAGAAAATGTAGTAAAAGTCAATTTTGACGACTGAACTTAGCAAATTCAATTTAAGGTTAAGTGACGATTAATATGAGCAAATTTAATCAGTTCAATCTGAGATTGTTCGATGACGATATCAGTTCGATGATTGATATGATCAGTGTCCTCCCCCCTCCCCTCTCTGTTAACACGAGTTCTACTTAACGTTTTTCAATCATTGGCATCTTTCACGATATGTCACGATACTCCGAGTATGAATATTATTTTTAAAACTAATTATAACGTTCAGCAAACGAACGCTCTTCGGTTGACTGAATTTGCTCATATCAATGATCGATTAAACTGTCTTTGATTAAATTTATTAAATTCAATTATTCATTGAATATAATTTTCGATTTTCTTTACGGGAGTTCGTAAAAATCAATCGTTAAATAAGCATTCCTAGACCGATTTTATCCGAAGCAATCGTCAATTAGTTGAATTGAGACGTATTTGTTCAAATCAGTTGTTATATTCAGGAAGATTTAATTGGCGCTGCCACAGCTTTGCCCGGATATAGAAATAACCCGGTTTACATTGACAACGCTATTCTGACCGCGGTTCGTTTTAATGTAGAAGTTCTACGTCGAGAGAGACGTTTCATATTCGGGGAATCGCGGTCATCAATTTGTAACCTCTTCGTGCGAAAATAACCGTTTCTCGTTACTTTGCGAAACTCGGGGCGAGGAGCGCATTTATATTTGCAGACGATATTCTTTTAGAAGAGGCCACGAGATGTATTCGATTAAATATCGCGTACCTTTCTGAATGCAAATTGTTGGGCTGCTCGATTGTACAGAGGGTAGCCGGCCTCCCTCGATCCCAGACCTGGTGTAACGCCTATTGTGCGGTCGTTGAATCGACCCGGAAGGAATGTACTAACGAATTTCCGGCGGGTCGACGTAGTTTTGGTAGGCGGGCGCGTGAAACCGAGCCGGCCGCTTCACACGGAAATATCGAAAATCGAATGATGATGCCGAATCATTCCGAGAACGGATTCGCTCGTTGGCGCGTGCTGTGTCAGCGGAAAAGACTTTAAATGGCATTTCTGGCATTTCTGGCTGGTCGCGCGACGACAGCGTGCCGCGCGATAGAAGATAATCGACATTTTCCATCGTAATTTCATTTCCTCTATCGATTTGAATTGCGCGAGAGCCGGTGATTCTCTTATCGAATCCCGCCTGATTCCGCGAGTCAATGAGGCGTGCCTTCTCGGGAAATTAAAAATCTTGCTCCTCCTCAGGCAGTTTAATATTTGCACAACAGAGATACGTGGACTCGGCGTTTTCGCGTGTCGTTGGCTCGTCTCTAATTGCGCGCGAAGACGGCGTTGGTGGAATTTTTTGGGAGCTCGCGGAAGCTATTACGACGCAAATTGTTAGTTCTTGTTGGTGTGGTGCGCGCGCTCCGTACACACACACACACATACACATTCACACAACTGAGAAATCACGTGGAATTGTTGGATCGAAGCAAGAAACGAGCGGAATGGGCTTTGTGTGTAACTCGGCGTGTGGTTTCGGGGGAAGGGGGTAAGTTACAGAGATGTGTCTTGCGCGTGAGTGGTCTCTAAAAGCCCGCTGCCAAGAGGTTTTGTTCGGTTTCGGCGCTCCCGTCTGGGGGTTGCGCTTGTGCGGTCTCAGGGCATAATGTACAGTCGCCCGTAAGTATTCACCTCGAAGGCAGATAAGATCGACTACCCTGGGCGATGACGTGGTCGATCTTAACTGCATGCTATTTCGAGATTTTCGCGGTTCGGTCAGAAAATATCCCGCGAAATCTTCGGGCCGGCGAAACGAAATGTTAAAGTCACGCAGCCCTCCTCGCCGCGACCTCGAAGATAATAAAGCTCAGATATTGCATCCTGAATCACGAAGAGCCGCCGAATCGATATTCCACGTTAATCGCCGTCGCTTTTTGGGTTCCACTGCGAGCCTGACAGCCGGTGCTTAAGTGTAATTTCGATAAATTAGAGCCCAAGGTATACACGGCGCTTCGATACGAAAGGTCAGCCCGACGACATATCGGTAACGTGGACGGATATCGAAAAATTATTCGAAAGAAGATAATCTCTCTCTCTTTTCTCCGTTCAAAATGCAACGTGTTAATTGGCTGCCGACGTCCATTCGACGACGCGAAGATCTCGGATATTCCGGCGAAGACGGATAACTCGCATCGCGGAACGAAGATTCTTTCTGCGATATTAAATTACGCTCGTGCCTCGATATCCACTGATTGGTTCTCTCATTTCCCGTTCTTCCTCTTTCTTTCTTTTTCTCTCTTACATCTTATCGCGATAACGACGTTCGTACGATAACGCGGGAATCTCGAGAATCTCTCTTCGAGAAGGATTACGCTCTATGCTTACTTGCAGGGGTCAAAGGTGATGGCACGTTTCACGCGCCCTCGACGAAGAATGGCGAACACGACCGACTCACCCGCGACGACCGGCGACAGCCTTCTCTCGTCCTCGACGACGGCGCCGTTCACCACCCCGTCGACATCGGCGAGCTACTCGAGCGAGGGCTACACCTTCAACTACAGCGGTCTGCCCAGCCTCGGCGGCTACTCGCTGGACGACCTCAACTACACGGAACTGTGGGTGGACGTCTGGAACGGCACCGAGGTCAACAACGTCACCGAGAGACTGAACACGACGGTGCTGATACCTGACGGTTACTGCGACGAATGGGAGTCCGCACAGCACAAGCTCTTCCAGGTGAACCTTCACCCTCGAGTTTTTCGCGTTCGAGGATTCTTCAACGCGAAATTCTCGTATCACCGTCTCTCATCGCTTGATTGAAATTACATCAATGTAGGAATTGGATATTATATTAGTAGAAATGAGAAATCACGTTGATATATCACTGAGAAAGAAATACTTGAAAATTGTTTAGGACGATATGAAGCTTGTTCACAGAGAAATGAACGTTCTGTCCCACAATTAGATTTCAAGTATTTGTTCCCAGGATAGGAATAAATTCTTCCCCACTGGCAATGACTGGCGCACTTTAAGGCCGCCAAATTTCGCGACGGCATTCGCAAGCTGCCTGAAAGGTAGCTTGAAACCTGCGACAATGAGTTTCTTTTAAATAAAGTCATAATTTTTAAAAATCGAACAGAGAATTCGTTTCTACGCTTGATATACATAGTTTCCCGAATTTCCCTATCAAATAAAGCACGAAAGCGCCCGTGAGATATCTCTTGATTCGAGCGGTCCCCCGAGTTAGTCGAGGATTCAGTCACAAGAATCGAATGCCCCCGAGCAATAACGCCAGATCAACGAGCGTTCTCCTCGTAGAACCGATAGATTCATTCGTCGCGTTGTTAATTTCAGGCGGCGAATATATTTTTTGCCTTTGCATTTCTGGTGCCGCGCTGGTTCAAGATTTCCATCTTGGCTCTTCGCACATGTCTCACGGTGGGCTTCATGCTGGCGGCCCTTTGGGCCGGGATCACTATATGCGCCCTGGACGCCATGCTGTGGTGCTTGACCCTCGGTCTGCTTAACGGCATACACTCGTTGATACTCGCCTGCCGATTCTTGCCGCCTGCTCTCAGCCCCGAGCTAGCCGAGCTGTATATGAAGCTTTTTAAGCCGTACAAGGTCAGCAAGAAGCACTTCCAGGAGCTGGCGAAGGAGGCGAGGATATACAAGTTGGATCCCGGACAGACTTACGCGACGGAGGGCGTCACGGCGGCGGATGAGAGACTGTCGATCCTTTTGCGTGGGAGGTGAGTACATATATATCCTTCTTTTTTAATTAGAACTTCTGTCCAAAACAAAAGCATCTCCTTTCGCGGAGGAAAGCCAATACTTGTAATTGAAACTGGATTAATAGACAGCTAAGATCCTTCCGCGTTATTCCTTATCTCGCTATCATGGAATGAAAATATCGGGTAGCGGATACGATCCCGGAATTTCCTTCGTCTTGACACTCGTCGGGATTGCGTTCTCTCATCAAATTGATCCTTTCATTGGTTGCGCTCAGTTATCGTTCACTCGAGGGACGCGAGTTCCTATCCGAGATATCCTTTCTTTGTCAAGACAAGCAGTCGCGCTGGTCGTGCAGCGCAGTCTCAGTACTGAGTCCTCCTCTCGATTGCAGACTGAAGGTAACTTGCGACGGGACCCACTTGCACTATATCAGAGCTTACCAATTCGTCGACTCACCCGAATGGGAGGCCATGCACGAAAACATCGACGACGTCTTCCAGGTGACGATACGGGCCGAGGAATACAGCACGTACATCTGTTGGACGAGGATCAAGTTGCAAAGGGTGCTGCGGCACAGGCCCCTACTCAAGGTTCTCCTCAACACCCTCATCGGTAAGGACATTACGTCCAAGTTGTACGCCCTTAACGAGCAGCTCGCTGGTGTCGCGACCGCCAGTGAGAACGCCACGTCGCATCCTTACAGGGGAGTCTCGAGGAGCATCAGCGTCGACGCTGTTAACACCGAAGTCGCCGGAAGGGTTCGATCGGCGACCTGGAAGACGCAGAGGCGGCACAGTAATCCGCGTAATGAGAGTAAGTTTGAGTCTTCTTCTCTTCCACGCTGTCGAGAGCCTTCAAGGATATGCGATATAGTCTTGATCGCTAGTTTTCGTACACGGAAAAAAAAGGATATCGTGCGCATAATCATTTAGTTGCTGAGCAGCGTAGATGCATCACACTAGTTATCGTTGTGTGATGGTGATATGTATGGTTCATATGACTCAGTTACTTTGATACCAAACCAACTACATCGATGTAGTTGTGCGTGATCTGGTTGTGGCAACCGGAACTCGGTTGAAGCAACTAGATATCGTCACTACTGCAACGTCAATAACTCAGTAATCGCTCTGTGGTTGCAGCAACCGCATAATTAGTTGTATTTTACTACTCATTCTGATTGGCACGAGCAAATTTATGTGCGGGCCAACCGCACTGTTTTTTTCCGTGTATCGATACTTGTTCCCGGAAATCGGTCAGTTGTTTGCTTCATCGTAACATTTCGCACGTTTCACTCCCTACCCTCGTATGACCCGTCATCTTATCGCATACCGCAAAGGTCTTCGATATAAATCGGCTTATGTAATCGGTCGCTCGAACGGCGAGAGCCAGACTTTAGGGACCTTTAAAGGCTAGCCGAGTCGTACAAGGATGGTGGCGATTTCTTTGTCCTCAGGGAATATCCCGCCTCGGTACTCGAACCAGTATTGGGCGCCGGTGGTGGCGAACCATTTCCCGCCAACCTCGCCGTTCACCCAGAGCCGGGACCTCGGCTACTCGTTACTGCCGCAGGGTGTCCAGTTCTCGCCACCTCCGCGAGCACCCTTACTATCCCACTCTTCGTTGGCGCGGCAGCGAAGCGGGGGTGCCGGTGGCGACTACACCCTGCTACCTCAGACACCGAAGCTCGAGAGGAAACGATCGAAAAAAGCGGCCCGGGAGGTGGGTTTATCTCGTTCTTGATACAAGATTATCTTTTATTCGCGGAGAAGCACGATATATGGATAGAAAATCTCCAGCGCCTCGTGTTGTGGTGCGAAGATCGTCTTTAACACGTTCGCCGCTCGGTAAAAACTAAGTGTTGAGTGCACCCAATATAACAATCACATTGTTGAATGAGAAATTGTAACATCGATGTGATGTCACCGTTGATTGACGTTTACTGAGTGCCAACGTCACACGTACATAATTCTCATAATTTTTCATTCTATGTTCACATAAAAATAAAGTGAATCTGTTTTACATTATCCCTGAAAAAAATATTGTGAAGACAGTTTTCTATGGTAGCGACCATGTTAAGATGACCGCAAGTCTCTCTCGAAGACATAACGCGGAGGCGACGAAATCGTCGTCAAATATCTTTTTGGCGAAAATTTAACGAGGCGATATGATTTTAGATTTGAAATCACAAGCATTTCGTTGAGTTACGGGCAATCTCTATATGCATCGTGTCATATCAGGAGATTATTTAAACGTATATCGCGCATGTTGACACACCACACTGCGCTCTGAAGGGAGAAAGAGAGAGAGAGAGAGAGAGAAAGAGAATACCTTTACCGTCCATGTCATTAACGCTCCCTCATCAAACAATCGAAATGCACACAGTGCTATTACAAGTAGGTCGGAGTCGTGCCAATAGTCACCCGGGCGCACTTCATTAGTCGACGTATACGTATATCAAGAGGAGCCATATTTGCTGACTTACTCTTAACAAGCGTGCTGGAATTACCTAGTGCGAGCAAATGTGCCATCAACGTTCTAGAGAAGCAATTGTAGCTGCCGCGTGTCAATATTGACGTTATAATTAAATTTGTGCGCTTGGCCTTGTATTGCCACGTCTATCGTGCTCGATTCAAAGATAAACGCAAATCGCTGCTCGTATTCGACCGCTTCCTCGCTTCCTCTTTCCCGATCAAAGGGCCCCCTAGTTTTCTTTTTAAGAAAACTGCTCAATACGAGCCTCTTCGATTCGCGAAATATTCATTTCAGGTAACTTTCGAGACTCCGGTATGACGCTCGCTCGACGGGGAAGGCCCTGCCAGCGTGCCTCTACTCTCACTGTCGCCGCAGCGCAAAGCCTAGCCCCGTCGTGGTCTCGTCACCCTGATGCACATGGCGAAACTCACCCTCTAAATCCTCGACGAACGACGCGACATCAACGAATGGCCTACGTCCAAACGATCGAAAGGGAGCAACGTACCTCGGTACCGGGGAGAGTAGCTCCCGGTGCCGCGGGAGCGCCGGGGAAACGAAGCCGAAATCGTCAAATGGGGTGCAGTTTCGATGTGTGCGATTGATTTTTCATATCCTGCAAGTGCCACGCCTTACACAGACACGCAACGCACGTGTGAAATTGAACGCGACGGCGATCGTGAGAAATTGATTCCGACGTTCATCGGCCGTGAGGGCTTTCGTCGGAGTTCCGCAGCCGGATCGAGAGGAGAGCCGAGTGTTCGGGGTGGACCGAGCGATTCGTTCGTGGCTCAACAGTGAGAAGTGGAAGTTACGAGATAAAGCAGAGGGGGAAAATCGTGAACGAAAGACTATATATAAATATATTGTATACTATTGATGGGGGAGAGAGAGAGAGAGAGAGAGAGAGAGAGAGAGAGAGAGAGAGAGAGAGAACAAGAGAAAGAGAGAGAGAGAGAAAGTATGTGAGAGAATGAGATTGAGAAATGGAGAGAGAATGATAAGAGAGAAAAAGCGTCGCCTCTGTGTACACTTTTACATCGACTGTGATTATAACGGATATATTTGTTAAGTCTTTCAGAGAAACGCTGATTATATACAATATACCGAGAGACACGTGCGTAATAATTAGCCACCGCGGTAACCACACGCATATCCTACGCTCGCGTGAGTTAAGGTGTCCTCCGTGTTGTATTTTCCGAATCATCTCTCGCCGATTCCCGATTCTATTTTTACCATGGCTTCTATCTCGAGATTTGCGATCGCGTTAGATCTTTTGTTATTATTGTTCCTTCTCTCAATACTGAACGCCATTTGTTGAATCCACGGATTTCTCGTTGATGCGTCATCACGATATAAGTTCATTACCGAGTATATCGTTGACGAGGGACACCTGAACAGCGCGAATTCGCCGGGATCGTTGCATAAAATTAGTGCATAAAATGCGCACTCACGATAAATGTGATACGTCGAGAACACGCAGCAGTTTCTACCCGAAACCGACAGACGAAAAGGAAAAATAAAAACCAAGATATTGCATTTGCACTCCCTTAATCAAATAGAGAACACGTTAAACGCATAAATGGGAATGAGAACGAGAACAGAAGACAAGCCGAATAATTCAGGCGTAAACAATAAGTGCTTCGTTAAAGAGAAAAAAAACATAAACCTGCAATAAAGTGCTTCGAAAAAAAGTAGTTGATCGCGAGACACAAATTAAAGCAAAGTTTAATTATTCACGTAAATTAAAAGGAAAAAAAAAATTAACATGCGTCGCGCGTAAAATAGACACGTAGAAGAAGAAAAAAACATGTGTGTTTGTATGTTTCTATGTTTATATAATCGCCGCGTGTGAGAGCGAGACCGTAGAAGATCAACAAAGACGCACAAACGATTAAAAACAAAACACGTGAGGAAGATTAAAGAAGAAAAAAAGATTTAAACGGCTGCGTAGTGGCGAGTGTAAATGTTATAAGCGCAAAAGTGGCTGTAGAATATTGTAAAAGTTATGACACGAAGGAGTGTATGAGATGTCGAGAGGCGCACGTCGGAAAGGATCGCGTCGTTGTTTTTTCCGGACATTTCAATTTCTCCATTATTTATTTGGTCAAATCGAACGAGACTGTTGCGATATTCTATCATTATGTAGTTGCTTTTATAAGAGGAAGTAGAGAGAAAGAGAGAGAGAGAGAGAGAGAGAGAGAAAAAGAGAGACATATATAAATACATATATATACACACTAGTCAAGATATAGCAACTTTTTATATTTATAACGATCAAAATTTCTTAAGAAATTATGTTGACGGGCTGTCGCTTGTTGTTGATTTTTGGCTGTGATACTCGCAATAATTTCTATGCATTTTGTACATATACAGTCGGCCGCGGTGGATTTGTTGGATCGTTTTGTGGGACTTGCAAGAGCTCGATCTATTTTCCGACGTAGACACGAGCCTAAAGTAAGAATGGATCTGTCTGAATGATCTTTGTCGATGTCGCATGGTGAGAATGAACAAGAGCGAAGCAAAAACGAATCACACAAGACGAATTGCAGCAGCGACTCATCAACATCACGACGATATTGTATATTATTATTATTATTATTTACAATTACAATATGTTCGTTGACTATTGTGTTAGAAAATAAAAACTACATGGAGAAACGTGAGATATTATTCCGTCTTTATTACAATGTCCTCATTGTTATTTGCATTGTCCTTAATAACGGCGAATTAAAAGCCTTAATTGTTTATAAAAACAAATTGCACGTAATTGCTTGATAGGAACAAAACAGAACCAAACATAAATTCCTTGCACATCGCTTATTTCTAATAAGCAGATAATACAATTCTACGAATAAATTATTTCTCTTAGACGTCTCTGATTACAGAAGATTTTAATCTACACACACACACACACACACACACACATATATATATATATATATATATATATATATATATATATATATATATATAAAATAGAATGTCTGTCTGTCTGCTTGTCTGTATGTTCTCTATTAACTTCTAAACCTTTTGACAGATCTGGACCAAATTTTGCATAGTTATTCTCTAGGACCTTGCGGAAAATATAGGCTATCATAAAACTTGAACACAGCCCGCCTCCTCCCCATGATTTCATCTTCTTAATACTTTGTGACAACCCGGGCGACGCCTGGGCAGTTATAAATATATAAAGTACAAAATATATAACGAACGTAAAGCTACATAAATGTCAAAACTAAGATTCAATTGCGAGAATCGGTCGTTTCGTTGTCAACGAATAAGAGATTGTTAATGAAATTAGTAAGTCACGCAGGTAATTACAAGTCACGCGCGTACTATGCATGTGTCACGAGGTAAGAACTGACAATCTATTGTTTACCTTGATGTGCACCTTATTGTTATCGAGCCGAAAGACCTTTACCTCGCCGTCGTCGTACCCGTCACCGTAGCTGTCATAATAGCTGTCATAGTTGTCGTTGTTGACGTTGTCGTTGTCGTCGTCGATATAATCGATCTCTCGCTCGTGTTCGGAGGGTTTTATGACGTGAGCACGCTGATAAGGACGTTTCTTGAGCTTTTCTTTTCTCCGCGGAAGCTGTATGACTATGACGTAGGGTTTGTCGTCATCGGACACGTCCACCGAGTCCTGGTAATGCGGCGCGTACCTACGTGAGTAACCATGAGCGAATAAAGATTTGGCTCGACCGGCGGCTAATTATCGAGTTTACTCGACAAGATGAATTTTGACCGAACGTGTGTTAACTCTTGGCTCGTCTCCTCTTTCGTACCTGTGATGTTCCGGTTCGTAAGGGCGAGACTTGTACGTCGGTCTTCTTTTAGCGTGATAGCGCTTCGGACTTTTCGCTGGCGGATGCCACCGCAGTGGCCGCCAAGGCCGAGGACTGTAATACTTGTACGGTCTAACGCCCTTGTAGCCTTCGCTGACATCCACGATTTCCAAGGACAAAACGACGAGCGCAACTATCACGGACACCTGAGAATTACGATCGACGCGTTTATCATTTAATTATCCACGCATACAGGGGATACATATGCATGTCTTCCTTTAATTAATTAACTTACCTGCATTTTCATGTGTAATGCAGAATAAAATTTCTCTTAATTAATATGAATGCCCGTTGCCACTCGAATATATACACACACACACTCCCTCTTTCTCTCCCGGTCTCACTCTGAATCCATTTTAATTAAGTTACTAATTACATAAACACGCGCTCGTTTCACGAAACGATGCAGAATCCTGTTGTTCGATGATTCTTGTCGCTTTATCGATCATTTTTCCCCGAGCGAATAATGAACAAATCAAATATACATGGCGATTTCTCGCGTGTATACGCGAGTCAGTGTTGCAATCGCTGTGCAATCGAAAATCACGTATTTGAAGGATGCACAGTCGTTTGTACAGTCGTTTCAGTATCACACTTGGGTTTTCCGATTCTAGGTCGTAAGTGTCACTCGCGTGTTCCGAGCAGAATACGAATTTCGGGATTGATTAATTAATGCGCGGGGACCTTGAACGCGGTCAAACGTTCACGCGCACCTCAACGAATTCTGAACAGCTCGAGACTGAAAACTCGAGAGTCTACGAGCAGGAAACTTTCTTTTATATCATCCCTTCCATTTCTACCTGAAGCGCCTAAAGCGATACAATGGCACGCGAATATCGCACCGTCACGATTAGATTAATTACGATCCGTTCACCCTCGATCGAACGAAGTTCTTGTAGAAAATATACGTGCTGGTTAAACTTTCCCGGGAAATACAGTACGCAACAAACAGATGAAATAGATGTGCGGGTTTCGGGCAATTGCATTAAAGCTTGACACACAAAAAAGCGTAATAAATCAAGAAGTGAGAGATTGCATTCGAGCGACGCGTTCGTGTAAATTTTACAAGTCATTATTTATTTGCATCACGATGAGGCGCAAATACTTTCTCCCTGACACGAATTCGAGAAATATCAACGTGCGCCTTGTGCCTCGCAAATGTCCGCGCGGTTTCATTTACCAAACGTTACAATCGCGAAAATGTAGCTATGCTAGATGCAATTTTTATAAGCTCGACGCGTAAATTATTGCCGCGAATAAAATCATAAAGTTCGGCCTTCTCGTGTAATATGTAATTTTAATCCGTTTGCGTATAAATTAACAGACAAAATGTACTGGCGAAATGTTTGTAGAAATAAATCGTAATTCTCGGTGGAGTAATGTGATGCGAGGTGGCGATGAAGAGATTGATGCGGCAGTGAGAAATTGCCGCAGCTGACAGGCCGTAAACCTACGAGAGAGGAAAGTGAACGAGGGGCATCTGTCGAGACACTTTCGAGATACTTTCGATGGAGAATACGCGCATGATGAGTGCGCGCGTTTACTTTCGAACGTTCCCTCTTCGGACTACGCGTAATTGTCACGGATGCTGTCACTATTGTCAAGATGATTAACGCGCAGTGACGGAACTCAGCTTGTAATCGAGGTTCTAGTTCCCTCTCTAATCTCGAGGACTTTCTCCTTTTAATTGTGAGGGATACTGGACTTCTCAAAGGCGCTACAATCGCCATTGAGATCCTTACTTAAATAACCACTTTTTTCATTTTAACTGTTAGAAACTACTTTTTAGTTTTAACCGTCCGTTTTTATTTTCACCTAAAATTTATCCAGACTCAGATAGAATTCTCCAATCAGAAGACATCGCGGTATCTTTTGCAGATTTTTACTGAATCCGCAAAAGATTTTATGGGCGTAACTACAACATTACAGATCGTATTGTTATAATCACATTCATACAGCTAGATTACACACGTAGACTTGTGCGCTCACATAAATATCTCGTACCGGAGAGGTGTGGCAACAATATATACGTTTTCGTTATCACGCATCATTGTTCTCCGCTCCTTCGCGCTCAATTGACAATTACGGTTCTCTAGGTTACGACAGACTGCGACAAGTCGGCTTATTAGAGTAACAGCTTCTGTATTCAATCGTTTAAACAAGCATGTCGTTTAATGAAGCATGTCGTTTCACGTATAGACATTGTTCACGTGTAAAAAACTCTGCAAATAATTGCACGAGGAATTGAATGAAGCTAACAATGCGTTTCAACTACCCCAAGCTTACCCCTTATCGTACTTAAACTCACAATCAAGTGTAGTATTTTGCGCTTTACTGAAAGATGCGAACAGACTTGAATTCACGCGCGTTTAAAGAATCCCAGCTCGAAGAATCGGTAGATTCCCGATAGACCCCCGATAGAAACAGTACGCACTGAAAATCTCCAGTCGATCCTACACTGATCGTTCGTAGTAAATATGGAAAAACTTCTGACTTATAAAAATTCTCACTTTTGACTGTAGACGAAATATATTCGTGGGGAAGCAATGTAAAAGTACGAGGTATATAAAAGTGGAAGTGGTAAAGTGGCAATGACAGAAGAATCTCAGGAACGGAAGAAGGCCCCGAGGGGAGACTGACGTTGACTCTAACTGACAATACACTCGTAATTGTCTAATTGTGTGCAACAGTCGCTACGGTGATTAGCAGTAACTTGCTATTTAGGACGATACGCTACTTTAGATTTCATTTTACGAGTACAGCGCTCTCGAGCTCCTGCTCTGCACAAGCGGCGACCTCGTCGAGCCGCAGCGAAATGAGCAACCTCGGAACTGAGATCGGAGCTTGCAACTGATAATTACCAAGGTACTCGAGTCCTGGCGTTGTTATCGCGCGTGTCATCACTTGCATCCGTCACGTCTATCGCGGACGAGTTGCCCGAACCGTTACAAAGTCCCACGACAACCTCCTTCGACAACACTCGCGACGAATTCGATCGTAGCTGGGCACCGTTCGAGACTGACCGAGACATCGCGATTGCACCTGCTGACATCAGATCGGTCGATCGAGTCGAGACGATCGCGCGCTACACGTTCGCGTCCTGAGGTTCCGCGCAGTCGGTGGGCTTGATCTCCAGCCACCAATCGTTGGGGTAATGATACTTTTGTAGTTCTATGCCCTCCCGAGGCACGGGCATCAGTCGGCCGCCGAATTGTTTCGCCGGTAAGGGAGGTATTACCAGTTGCGGCGGGAAGCACTGCAGGCTCGGCGAGAATTCGCAGTCCGGTGGCAGGACTCTCCTGGTCCAGCCGACTCTTCTCACCATCTGAGTCTGCAAGGAGTTAACGTCCGTTAACGAAGGTATTCCAGCGTGCGAGAAACGTCAACTGCGATTACACGGCGCGATTCTCGACGTGCTACTTAGAATTCCTTCGAAAATTCCCCCTCGGATTCCCCAAATCGTCTCAGAGACGATCTTGGACGCGGCTTGAAACTGAGTTTCGTACGCTTCGCAAATTCAAGAGATCCAAGACGTATTTGGCAAGTGTAGTTACTGGTCCGCGACTTCTCTCGAGAAGGAGCCGACACAGTCGGGTCGTAATGTCTACGCAAGCGGCGATAAAACGGAGTCTACCGCCGGTTTATAGACTTACGCGCTGCCAAAGGAGTCGTCCTCATTCGCCCTACATACAAGATTAAGTATTGCAATAAAGCACATAGGAATAGCGAGTTCCAATTTTCTCGGCTCTTCCGCGAAAGCGTAAAGAAAACGATTCACAAAGTCACGAATTTGCATTCGCGTGCCAGATACATAAAATACTACGACGCCACCGAGTAACAATGTCCCGCTCCGTGCAAAAGGAAGAGAATGAGTCGTCGAAATAATAGCTGGTAATTGAAGTGGCGATCGACTGGGTCAAGCAATCTCGTCGATTCTCGCCGAGGTTTCGCGCGAGGATGCATTTTAACGTACTTGAGTCAAGTAAAAATTTCTCTCAAAGTTCGATACCCGACGTGTATTCAAGGTCAGTTGTTTGAGGATTATTTTCCCGAGGCGTTATTCCTTACCACCGCGTCCTCCTCGAAAACGACCACCTCCACCTTGGGCGCATCCTCGCCGACCTCGTGCTCTTGTATCCTGTAGATGCCCGCCGCGTGAAGGTAGGTCGCGCTCAGACCGACCTCGCGGAAGGCTTTTGTGATCAGGACGTCGTCTCTGAGCGTGTCCACCAAGCACAATTCCACCTTGCGGGCCCACGGCAGCGCGCGGCCTATTCGGACTTGACCCCAAAGCCCGCCCAGGCAGAGAAAGTGAACGATGCCCAACTTAGTAAGAACCAAGTGCGCCCTGGTGAAATCATGGAAAGTGATTTATACGTACGTATGTATACGTGGCACTTAATTAATGAATCTTTCTCTTCACAGATTTTGCAGATGTTGCTCCGATAATTGAATTCTTCGCGTTGAGATCGCGTCATCGTCAAACTTTTTCGAAATTAATTAATTGCCGAGTGACCTCTTTTCTCTTTTCTGTTTTTATCTACGTACAGAAAAAAGCCTCTCTTGGCTTGCTTCAAGAAACAAAACTTGCTTTTTATATACGCATCTCTACGGCTCGATCTAACGTCGACGGTATCATCGCGCTACGATCACATTTTCTACGAGACCTGACACGAGGTTGTCGTGGATAGCGACCTGTAAGCGAGATCGTGCAACTTCTCGGTGAACTCCTCGGGCACGCTACATGGTTGCCGCGGAATCTCTTGCCGACTGAGGCTATACCAGAATAGCACGACCATTAGAAAGAACGCCGCCAGTACTCGCATAGGCGTGATGCGAAACCGTCTCCGTGGACAGAAGCTCATGCTGATATCCTGCAAGTCGCAAAAATTCAACGATCTCAGTTAGGAGCGCACACTATGCGGATTAATCTATAACTGATTGCGGTGAGTTGCTCGACTTGAAATCCCAAGCGGTCAATTCACCAAGAGAAATTGATGAGTCGCCGATTTTCCAGATAAACACTTATATTTCTTGCTTCTTTCGATTGACAGATTTTTATATTTCTATTTGTCCAAATATTAAAAAAATTTAAGAAGTCTTGGGTTTTTTGATTCTCGGACCAACGATTGTTTGATAAATTCTTTCGTTTTCTTGTCTTTTTTCTTCACGCTTGGATTTTCGTTAGTCCGTCGACTAATTTCATCCGTTCTATTAGAGACGAATTTGAAAATATCCACGAGAAAGGGACACACGTTTCTCGAAGAACATGCGTGTCGTCAACAACACGTCGTTGTTCGGGCAACACTCGTCTCTCACCGCAATCCCAAGCACAGAGAACGAATCACGAGGAGCTCACAACACTCGGCTTACGTACTCTTAACGTGCGACGTAGTCATGACCCACGTGTAACCAGACTTCCTTGAATTTCCCCTTCACGAATTTTCTTTCACCCCCGTGACAAAAGCACCTTCATGAAGACTCCGACATTCGACCCTTGACCTGTTCAACGTGGCAACGTTGCAGGTTATTGATTTTTCTGTTCTACCGACCGATTCCCTTCAGGAATGGCCTCGTTGAGATAGGGGTGAGAAGTTAGAGGGTCATTTTATTGATCAACCAAACATTTACCGCTCTTATTCTTTATTTTCCGATAATACTGTAATTCTCTAATGTTTAATTATAATTGATTTTAATTCGCAGTTTCTTAGAGAGGTTTTCGCGAGAATCTCAAGTAGTTTAACTTAATAATATAATTGCTGAGAAATGCGCTCTTCAGGGTAGAATTACCGATATCTTTTATCGACTAAAAAATAATAATTTTTTTATAACCTCGTTGCACGTATGTTAGAGAAGTGTCTGTATACTCGAGAGAAACTAATTATTATAATTTCGAAAAAGGAAAATTTAATAATTTACGTTTCCTAAAGAAACCTTCAACATGAGATTACAGATTCCTACGTTACTAACAGACTCTTCGTGGACGATAGTGACCTCTTTGTGAAATGGCATGCTACCTTGATAAAATATAATTATTTTTTAAATACTTTCTTTTTTATATTATCTGGTAGATACTAATCTTTTGTTATATCAGAGAGTTCATTGATTATGCAAATAAAGAAAAATTTGGACGAAGCCTATCTTATCAGTTTATGATATGAAAGCAAGCTACACTTTATTGATTAGCAGTAGTCTGTAGGGATTTTTGATTGCTACAAAGATGCACCGAAAAATAAAAAGGGACTTCTCCAGTAATATATATTTGAAAGAAAAATAAATCACACAAAATAAAGAGAGAGAAACCTGTCTTCTTATTTTAGATTTAAGGTGTCGTGAGTTTTTTATTTCCATTACGCAACAAAATATTGCTCGCGTCCCTAGTAGACAGTGCCCGGGGAGAAATAACTGTAAAGGTTTCACGAAGAACATCAATTACACAAGTTTGAAAAGACCTCGAGCTGTGATACCCGACGATATTATTACAGTGACAGGAAAGCTCCTCTCTGGGAACACCAGACGTATCTCATTCGAATTCGACCGAGACTCCGACAGGCAGAAGGAAGGGACGTGTAGATTATGAAAAGGGCGGGAGACAAACGAGCGACGGAAGCGAGACGTGAAATTAACGAGCAAAAATAAACGTTTCCTCGATAATCTCGGTCGCTCGCGGAATTCCCGGCCGGCGTGCGCGCTTCTCCGTTTCTCGCTCTATTTACTTTTTCTCAGAGAGCGGCCTCGCCGAATGAGTTATCGCGCCGGAACCCCCCGGGTTATCCTAATGAGCAGAAACGCCAATAAGCCAGCGCGCTTTCGAGCCCCGGGTATGGTACTAAGTTCTTATGTCTTATTTTTAAATAGGGGTGCGCCTGTTGACGAATTTGCGGGGCGCGCCGTAAATGGAACACCGAGAGTGTACCTTTGTCATTCCCTCTTTTACAGACACTTCGATATAACCGAAGCAAAAGTGAATCGGAAATTGGTACAAGATTCTTTGTGAAATATGTCAAATTACCAATCATTATCGCACGCAGGATGAGCGATTCGATTTAAAGATAAAATTCCTAGGAGCGCTCACTTGCACTTTCGCCGCGCGGATCATTCAGGAAGGTCTTCAGGACACCATGAAGACCGCCAAATTCACGGTTAAATCTCCGAATCCGGGAGTATCAGCAGGATATCGCGAGCCATCGCGTCGAGGTGGGCATTAATTTCCCGCCGCACAGGGTGCAAGCCATCTCCGGAATAAAAGAGCCCGCTCGGAGGCGAGGAACCAGAAGAAGGGAAGCAGCACGAGGATGGGACGGACACGGGGAGGGGGGGCGAGGGACGCGGCAAGAAAAATTGCGCTCGATGTCGTGGAAACGGGCGAAGCCGTAAAACAAACGGTCGGACGTCGCGCCTCTTTCTCCGCGTCTAATTCTGTCTTGTCGCCCCGGCCGGTTCTTCGCCGTGTATTTTCGTAGCGCGTGTCACCTAACTCTAAGTGGCTTATCTACGCGCGTCTCGCTCGCGTCGGGCCCCGAGGTCGGCGCATCAGAGACACGTGCCTCGCACCTGAACTTCCATATACCCGTTCCACCCCGCCATCTCGACACAATCGATTACGGAGGGTGTGCGCGTCGTTCCCTCGGATTTTCGAATTTGCTCGCTGCCTGAAGCTCATTGTTAACTTGTCAGACAGCAACAATGGTAGCTCACGACGAGTGCCCTGCGAGAAAGTCGGCTTTTAATTAAGAGAATCTTATCATCTGAATTGTCGACGGGCTGTCGAGACGGCGCTTCCTTTTCTCTCGCTCGCATTTCTAACTACCGGAAATCGCGTGTAGGATTAGTAAGCATTCCGGCCGCATTCTGGCCGTTTCTCACCCTTTCGTGCCTCGAGGACGATCCCTTTTCTATTCTCTCTCTCTCTCTCTAGAGATCATTATTGCCGTGTCGGTACGTCGCCTCTTACCAGCCGACGGAGAAAAACGGCAAGAATTGATCGCAAGACGGTGGAGAAGGCGGCAGCCGAGGGAGGGCAATCGCGAGAGCGGATTAGTGGTTTATCGAAGGGCGATCTTTCGATGAGCGAGCGGGGGAGGAGAAACGGAGGGCTGATGGACCAGATCGAACGACGCGAGTTGCATTTCAATGGGACCAGCGCGTGTACGTAAAAGCGTTTCGTGGATTCCACGAGGGTAAAAACCCTCGCCGGCGAGGATCTCAAAGACGGCCGGTGTTTTCGCGATAGCCAACAAGCCTCACGGAATGCCGGTCGAATTCTCAGCTCCGAGCGCGATTGACGGCTCGTTGGAAAAACGCGAATCTAGGATATCTAGGAACCAAAGCGATTATCAAGACAGCTGAATTGTTATACTGAATGTTTATGAATGTAAAAATTACTTTTTAACTTTTGATTTTCCACTAAATTGTCATTTAAGACGAAAAGCCACTATAATGGCTCTCTTTTAAAACTTGCGTTGGGACCCAATCGTTAGATTGTCTTTGCTAAGCACAGTAGTTTGTTCAGTTTCCTTAAAACAAATTTCATGAAATAGTCGTCACTTTATGTATTGATGAAATTAATTATTAATCAAACTTTAATGTAATTGGTTATATACTAAGTAATGATTAATTTCATCAGTTGATTAAATTATTTGTGATTAAATATATATAATGATTGATTAATTTTGATTATCAATTTGCCGATCATTTTACAAACACAGAAAAATATATGGTTGGGTTAACGAAATTTCTGGTGAAATATGAACGAAATAGAAAATTCCAGTTTCTAACTTATCAGAATTCTGTTTACCTTAACCAGAAATCTTGTTAAATTGAACAGGATTCTAATAAATCAACTGGAATTTCTGGTTTGTTCATATTTGTTCATATTAATCCGACCAAACTCTTCACGAAGAAAATCTTATAAGAAAATAAATTAATACCCATCAGTGAAGTTCCTTGTCCAGTTTAAAAGCGTAGAATTAAAGGATTAGTAAACATTTAAGCAGGTATATATAAAAGAAAAAATATTCGGAACGAAATGATCCAGTTATTCTCTAGAATTCTATTATGTATTTAAAAACGGAACAATTCCGGTTGGAAACTTTTTCAAATAGTTTCACAATATTAGTAGTTAGCAGTTTCACAGCTCTGATTTAATAATTTAGCTATCTCTAAAACAAGGATTGGAGCTCTCTTGAGAATACAGATAGTAACAATGAGTTTACACACGCAAAACATCAACTCGCAAGCTATCGCAGCTAGATCTCACGACACGGAGGATCGAGTGTGAATCTTGACACGAAGCGTGAGCTCTATTCGCACTCACGAGACAATTCTGACATGAACTCGGCGACTCGACGTTGCAAAAATATCGCGCGTGTTCCTCGAGGTGGCGAAGAGAAGCGACAACGACCCGGCAGCGGGAACCACGCCGAAGTCGCCGTTGACAACGCGAAGGCGAACCATGTGGTCAACGCGAGTTAAACGTCTGCCGCGTAAACGTTTAACGTTCCGCCGGGATACATGGACATTCCGCGGTTATTTCGAATACGTTCCGCCGGCCGTTTTTATGTCCACGTAAATCACGTTCGCGTTCAACTTGGCGCGCGCTCACGCGTAGGATGTTGCTTCGATTTCCCATAATGAGACGCGCTCCTAATGAGAGCCGATTCTAGACTACGAGGACATCGAGCTCGGGAGAGTGCACGGAAAGTCCTCGTTTGACATTATTTTATTTTAAACTAACTCCACCTGGCGTTACTTAAATTTATCGCAGAGTGTCAAGGAGATGAAATCAGAGGATGGAATGTCCAGATTTCTCTCATGCAGCCTATATTTTCCGCAGAGTCCTTGAGACCAATTATAAAAATTTAGTCCAGATCGGTCACTGAGTTTAGGAGTGTATGTAGAGAACATACACAGATAGACATTCTATTTTATACATGTACAGATTCGCGACACTTACACGATAACACGTCTCACGTTATAGTGTCGCGAAATCGAATACCGATGGTCCCGCGGTGCCACTGCTGCTGCTGCTGTTCCCGTGTGACGAATGACGGAGCGGCTAAGAAGTTAATTTATGGAAAACGCATTCTGCAACGGTGCCGCGCGGATCGAGGAATTTGAAAGTGGAGACGGAGCGCGCAGTCCGCCAGCAGTCCACGTCCACGTGTCGTCCGTCGCGTGGAAACCGTGACGATATTAGTCGCTCGGCCCCTGCTCCACCGACTACGGTCAGCTGCTCGACGTTTGCGCGTTTGTCGTATTGTCGACCGAGCGTGCACGTCGTCGCCAAGACGAGTGACGGTAATCTATGCGTGCGAATATATACGCGCACACCTGTGCGTCGACAACGCGTCTCCACGCGACATCTCTCTATTCCTTTTTATATATTTTTGCTATTCTTTCAGTTTCACCAAGATCTCCAGGGATAAGGATTCGCGAATTTACAAGTTTCTTTTTCCCGGGAAAAGGTGCAAGAATCCCGAAGAATATTCACCTGGAGGTTCATCTCATTACTGCGAAGGGCGAGAAGCGAGG